AACGATCCCTTCAAAAGTATTACAATAGACTAGTTTTAGGTAACAGTTTTAATAAGCGTTACAATTTTAACGATACATTAGACTCAAAAATGTAGTAGTGAATGTGCAGAGAAAGAAATTCTGATTGAGACTTGAGAGGTTAAATGGAATTTGTCATTGTAATGTGCAGAGAAATTCTCATGCTAAGAATCCAGTTTTTTACGCATGTAAAGGAAGTTCTTCCAACCCACTTTTTACACTATGTATTAGTCCCTTGATTTTTATCTTGTTTTAATTTGTCTCTTTCTTAATCTTTTGTACTTTTTATTCTTTTCAGCTTTTCTGGCCAGATATTTTCTGGTAAGAAATACAAAAAACTATAAAAATGAAAAACATAAATAAAAAAGAAAGTACCTGAACCATGTTGGTGGAAATTCGGTTCGATAAATCTGCAAAAAGGCGTTAGAAAATAGTATAGCTCGAGTCGCGTAAACGCTGTGCTCAAGAAAGTATTTCCGACTAGCGAAAACCTTTCCCCAAGATATAACGAGCTCTTCGGCTTACGCCGGTAACAGAACAACGAGAATAGAATAATATTAATCCAGCAGAGTGAGAATATTAGGAGATGTTTTAGCTCAGAATTATTTTACTATCACCGTAAGAAGCTCATAGCCGAACACATATATATACACGTAAAAATGTTGCTGCTCAAGCTGAACGTTAGACCAACGTTCATAAGTAATAAATTATATTAACGTTGAGCATATAACTCTTTAAGGAGTACTCATTTGTCTAATAATCTGAACGGCACACTATTATTGCACTCACTGAAAAATTATTAAACAATAAAGGATGTTAACGTTACCCAATAATGATCACTAATTAATGCTTTACGTTATTAGTTTGAAGAGCTCAATTCATTATTTAATAATGGAGTATAGGAAAATATAAACTTGATTAATAAAGTAGTGTTATTAGATAATATATAAGAGAATAATTTTATACGTAGTATATTTTATTCATTTGAAATACTTCTATTTTTCCAACAATCCCCCACATATTTCAAATGAATATTATGTTAAAAATAATTTAGAAAATTTTTGCTGGATTAAAGGAATGAGACTTTAAGTTTGGTGTCCGTAGACTTGAAACCAAACCGAGACGATTAAGTCTTAATAAACCGAGCTTATGGTGAAACCTATAGTTTCTTGAAACTAACAAGCTACTATTGGTAAATCAGGGTCTTAACGGTCGTGTCTCACCCTGCACAATTTCTCGTTATTACGCCGTTGTGCGCCGTAAGGCCATGCGCGTGCTTGGTTTTCATGAGTGCTCTAGAAGTTTTGTCATGTTTCATGGAGGCGGCCCCACCTCACACTCATATAGGTGATATCATCAAGTGTGTACCGCTTTTGCACACCACCCTAAAAGTTAGGGCTATGATAATCATTAAGAGATTTTGGCTCATCCTATCAAAGTATTCGGTTTCTAGCCTATATCTCACATCATGGAAATGGGCAATTTTAGTTAGGCTAGCAGAACTAAATGGAAGACTTGTTATTACCCATTTGAACTTGCTTCATGGGATCTCCAATCACACAAGTTGGGTTCCCATCCCCATTTGTTTCAAGTGACACCAGTCCCATTTCCTTCGATGTTTCGGTTATAATTTTCCATCCTAGGGATTCTGTCAAAGGAGTAGCTAATTCCTTCTGACTTCACAAAGTTAATGGAAATTATTCCATTCTCAAACATCATTGCACCACTATTAAGAGTGAATGGATATCCACTATTTTAATTTATCTCATGTGAGTAATACTCAAATGTCATCAATGTATCCCGGCCGGTAATACAACGGATAATTCTCAATAAAATATATATCATCATTGTACCATTATAGTACAATGGATAATTCTCATATAACATCATTGTACAACTCTACAATGGTTATTTCTCAATAAAAGGTATCATCGTTGTATTAATATATTACAACGGATAATCTCAATCAGATATACCATTATTAATGGTACCTCTCAAATATCTCAATATATATTTTTTAAGGTATCTCATCTATCCCATTTGGATTTCATGTATTGGCTCAATCTTCCGACATTTTAAATAATGATGGGTTCACCAATTTCGTTAATTGTAATAACCTCACATTTTAAATGTACATATTGAGCTTCAGAATCACATTATGTGTTTTATTATTAATAATTATATATTAAAGTCATAAGGGATATTCTCATGCGATAGTAAATTATCAACTTTCTTCCTTATGGCTGTAATACTCAAAATTACTTTTATTTACTTCATATATCAACCCAATATGGCTACAAAAATAAGCATATAAATAATCACACATTTCATCATTTAGTGTACACATTCCCCCCCCCCCCCCCCCCAAAAAAAAAAAAAAAATCAATCACAACAATATAGGTTATGGTATTGCACACTAACACACTATTTCTTCACTATTCCAGTTCATGCAACAGTAGCCAAAAGTTATAAAACTCATTTTCACTAAGATAAGTTTTTTTTTTAAAAAAAACTAAGCACCCCCTACAATTTACATACTTTAAATAATTGGTGCAAAAATTTATGTAAGCACCCACAATATTAAATATTTCAAATCAGGTGCATAACCTTTCGAGAATTCATAGATAGATATTTTATATCTCAACCTCTATTTGTACACAATGATTTTATCAGAGAAAAACGCGCCTTTTAAATTTAAATAAGATAAAATTTAGTTTATCTCGAAAATCACCAATAAATGTGACAAAGTACTTTTACCACCTCTAATCGCAGTGTAGATGCTCTAATAACATTTGTATAAATTCATCAAATATATATCACAATTTTCTAGAGGTGCTCCCATATCATAATTTTAATCTAGAAGAGTTAAAATATTAGGAGATATTTAGCTCACATTTTGAGCAATAGCTCATCTAGCTCTAACGTTCGACACATTTAAAACTCAAAATGTATAAAGCAATAACTTTGTATAAGAATAACCGTTTGAGCACTTCCAACATATATGTAATTGTAAATGAAAAAGTTAAACATCTACTCAATGAACGTTTATTAAGTTGATTAATAAATCTCATTTTTTTTCATATCTTAATCTAGCATTTAACACATTGTAAGAATCAATCAAATAAGCAACAGACATTCAATTCATTATTTTAGAAACATTGAGAACAAACAGTCCATGATTACAATAGCCTTTTCCCACAAAGACATTATTTTTAGTCATCACAATTTTGTCCGATTCAAAGGACACCATAACTCCAGCTTTCCCCAATAGTGAAACCGAGACCAAATTAGTGCGAATTTCAGGCACATGAAGTACATCATTCAAGGACAATGTTTTTCCCGATGTGAGCTTAAGAACAACTTTTCCCTTACCATGCACCTTGGTTGTGTGAGAGTCACCAAGATACACTTATTCTTCGTCATCCCCTACAGAAGTGTAGGAGGAAAAAGCACTTTTGTTTTTACAAATGTGCTCGGTAGCCCCAGCGTCTACCACCCATTCATTCACATCGGACACCAAGCAAGTTTGAGAAACAACCGCCGCAATAATATCATCACCTTGAACCAAGTTTGCACTTGGTCTAGGTGGTTTGTTGTTTTTCAAAGTTGCCCGTTTCCTACATTGTGCCGCAAGATGTCCCAGTTTTCCACACATAACAATGACTTTTGTTCTTAAAGCTTGTGTTAGATTTAGTCTTATTGTAATTAGGCTTGTTATTATTTTCATTATTATTATTAGGGAAAAGGTGCAAATAGGCTCTTGTACTAACCAAAAAAGGTCAAATAAGCCCTTATTTAGGAGGTTCTGTCCGGCCGTCGTCATTTGGGGTGGTTCCTGGTGGAAATTTTTAATGAAATTTTTTAGTATCTTATTCGTCAAGTCTAGTTTACTCATACCAAATTTCAGCTAAAACTTCAATCGGGAAGGCATTCAAATGATTTCTTGAAAATAACTGCGCAGTTAGAAGCGCAGTTATCTTCAAGAATTAAAGTTTTAGCTGAAATTTGGTATGAGTAAAATAGACTTCATGAATAAGATGCTCAAAAATTTTCATCAAAAAATTCCACCGAGAACCAACCCAAATAGCGACGGCCGGACAGAGCCTCCTAAATAAGGGTTTTGACCTTTTTTTGTAAGTACATGGGCCTATTTGCACCTTTTTCCTTATTATTATTATACCTCCTTTGTTTTGAGTCTCCACTAGATTGGCGTTGGAAGTGTATTGCATGATTTGAGCCTTGGAGCCCTCCCTCCTATTGGTGTCTTCAATGATGATGTGTGTGATCACTTCATTGAACGACATAGGTCCAAATTTGTGCTTGAGGTCGCGCTTGTAGTCCTTCCATGACTCGGGCAATTTTTCAATGAGGATTCCAGCAACAAAAGGTTCGGGCAGCTCGATTTGCACGCCTTTGAGGTCCTCCAATAGCGTTTGATATTCATGAATTTGTGCCGTTATGTTCTTGTCGTCTTTCATTTCCCACTTGTAATAGTTTCCTATCACAAATTTTTGGTTGACGGTGTCTTCGGCGGTGTACTTGGCAATCATAGAATCCCATATTTCCTTGGCCACCTTGTTCGTGCAATAGACATCAAACAACTCATTAGATAAAGTACTAAGAATGGTATGACGGCAAACCTTATTAGCATAGGTCCATTGTTGAAGGAGTTTGATGCCTTCGGGAGATTTGTCGTTAGGCATGGCATGGGTGAGATCATCGGCAACGCCATGCATGTCAAGTGTAGAGAACAAACATTCTTGCCATCTTTTGAAATTTGCACCATAAAACACTTCAATCTTGGAAATGTCGGGAAATGGCTTCGCGTGAACGGGCTGCAGGTTGACGTGTAAGTCTAGCTAGGTAGAAGAACTTGCAGCTCCGTTTGGGGTGTCGGGAATGGAAATGATATGAGCACGTGTATCCGATTCCATAATACTTTCTTGAGATTAATGATGTTTGAGAACTAATTTTTCTTTAGTTTGGACAAATTTTAGTCATAAATTGCTTGGAATTTTTAGTAGTCTGGATACAGAAAAATAATGTTATTAGAAAGTACCTAGTCAGAAATTCTATCTTTTTTATTTTACTAAATTGTAGTTTTGGAAGTATAGTATGTATTTTAAGTATTCAGTCTTTAGGCAGAACACCCTTACCTATTCCTACTCAGAAATTTAGCGAGGTCTCAAAAATAGAACAAAGGGAAAAGGAAAGGTTGCAAAAGGAGGAAGAAAAAGACATAGAAAAAAAAAAAAAAAAAAAAAAAAAAAAATCCACTGAAGAAGATCCTTCCCTTTTTTCTGAAGAAAAGGGTATTTTGGAAAAAGAATTGGACTTGAAAGTAAACGAACCGGACTTGGAAGGATCTGATTCTGAATTGGAAATCCTTGAAAAATATGAAAATAAAGAACATATTGTGGCTCTTCTTTTTTATTATAAAAGATGGACTCGGCCATTTCGCTACATAAAAAATAATAGACTTGAACAAGCGGTAAGAAACGAAATGGCACAATATTTCTTTGACATACATAAAAGTGATGGAAACGATAGAATATCTTTTACCCATCCGATAAGTTTATCAACGTTTTTTCAAATAATCAAAACAAAGATACCCCTATAAAAAGATATTTCTAATAAATTGGACAATTTTTGGGTTTCTAGAAACAAACAAAAATTAAATTCTATAAAAATTGATTTGTTAAATCGAATTAAAAATCTTGACAAACCAGTATCAGTTCCAATACTGGAAATTGAAACAACCAAAACGCGATTATGTATACACAATGATGAGACTAGAAAAGAATACTTACCAGAAGAGGATGATCCCTTGTTAAATGGGCCTTCCCGTGGAAGACTAAAAAAAGATATAACGTTGAGAAACGATACTTCGATCAAAAAGTTGAGAGAGAAGGTTTTGCTAAATAGACTTCATTCTTTATTGTTGATGTCTACTTTTGAAAAAAAGGAAAAAAAAAACATTACAAGTTGGTGAGTTCTCAACTTTATCATCGAGTTAACGGATACAGAACAACTAACAAAATTTTTAGTAAATGTAATTGAGACAGACGATAAAAAATCTTCTGCAATAGAAAAAATAGGTAAAGAAGAGATTGGTAAAAAAAGTTCCCTGATGGTCATACAAATTAATAACTATGATCATGATATTCGTTCAAGAAAAGGGATAAGTGTATTAATTTTTGAAGAACCTAAGACTCTCAAAGATAAGACTATAAACAAAGATCAAAATACAAAAGAGACAAATATTCAAGTTATAAAATCCGACAATGATGAGAAAGATAAAAATATAAAAAAGAAAAAGGAAGATGAGGATAATAAGCTTTATTTGTTACGATATCCGCACCAATATGATTTTCGCCAAGTCTTAATAAAAGACTCTATGTGAACTCAAAGACGTAAAATAGTTATTGAGGGACTTTTTAAAGCAAATGCGCATTCCCCTCTCTTTTTTGACAGGATGAGGAAAAAAACCTTTTTTTCTCTACCATGCATGGCTCAACTTAAACGACTTTTTATAAAATGGTCATCCAGAAACGAGTTCGGTATTTTAGAGTCTACAGAAGAAAAAAACAATAATAAAAAGAGAAACCAAAAAGGAAAAGAAACAACGAGAGGAAATAGAACGGTTAGAGATAGGGGAAGCCTGGGAGACTTTCCCATATACCCAAATAATAAGAGGTTTGTTATTAATAATCCAATCAATTCTGAGAAAAAAAATTCTATTACCTTCATTCATAATCGGGAAAAATATAGGGCGTATGCTACTATTTCAAACTCCTGAATGGTCTGAATATTTAAAGGGATGGAATAAAGAAACGCATGTGAAGTGTAATTATAATGGTATTCCGTTAGCTGACAAAAAATTTCCGAAAATTGGTTGACAGAAGGTATTCAAATCAAAATTTTATTTCCTTTCTGTCTAAAACCTTGGCACAATATAAATCACTAACTTCTCATGATGACTTTTGTTTTTTAACAGTTTGGGGAAGGGAAACAGAACACCCTTTTGGTCATCCACGACAAACACCTTCATTTTTTGAGCCTGTTTTTAAGAAACTTTACAAATTTGTAAAAGTAAAAATCAAATTTTTAAAAAAGTTTTCAAAAAAAAAACACAAGTTCAAACGAAACAAGAACAATACACCGGAGTTTAATAAAAAAAAGAAAAAGATGATCGAATAAATAACCAGATAATGAATCAACCCTTGAGTAAAATTGAAAAAAATACAGATTGGAAAAATTATTCACCGATAGACAAAATACAGGCTATTACTCATAGGACAAATACAATTAAAAAAACTAGAAAGAATTACGGAAGATAAGAAAAGGTTGACTCTAGAACTAGATATGAGCCCTTACAAAAAAAGTTCAAGATTAGCCTTGTCAATTTTTTTTTTGTCAAATGTTAAAAATAAAAAAAATAGATTAATATATAAATTTCATTATTTTATAAAATTATTGATTCAAAGAATATCTAACTATATTTTTTTATATACTATATCTATTTTCCAAATGACTGAAAAACTCTTTATAGAATCAACAAAAATGAACTCTCTTTCAAATATAAAAACGCATAAGAATAAGCGTTATAAGGAAAAGCCAGAGAATTTTGGTGATTTATCAAAGTTGTCACAAGCATATGTATTGTACAAAATATCACAAAGGAGTTTTTTGAATGTATCTAATTTGATGTCTGTTCTTCAACAAAAATGGAACATCTTTCTTGATTGAAAAGAATTTCTTTATTAAAAATAAAATAAAAGACTCATTTCATACACAGGGAATACTTAAATCTGAAGGAATAACAAAGGAACTTAAGCGGCCTAGAACAAGTCAATGGAAATTTTGGTTAAGAGGGAATTCTCAATACGATTTATCTCCTAATTTCTGGTCTGCCTTAAGATCACAAAAACAAAAATGGAGAAATAGGGCGAATCGCTATCGTAGGTCTAAACAAAAAGATTTACACAAAAGGAATTCCAATAGAAAATTAAAATTAAATAATTAAAGGAAACAAAAGGATGCTAACTCAGTATTTAATAACAATAAAAACATAATTTCAAAAAATGTTGTGAATATGATCTTTTAGCATATCAATACATTCAGTATGAAAAAAATAGTGCACCCCCTCCAGGAGCTAAACGGGAAGCGATTTCTTATCATTACAAGATGTCACAAAACAACTTGTTTGCGATAACGAAAAATCTTCCTATCACTTAGTTTAAGAGGAAAAATAGAAAGGGTCAATATCCCCTATACAGACAAAAATTTAGATAGAAAATATTTAAATTTGAAAAACATTAATTTTTCTCTTGATAAAAAAGCGGATATTGAGTCCTGGATCACGGGTAATGATAACAATACTCAAAGTGCTCCAATTTTCACTTATAATTATCAATTAATTGATAGAATGGAAGAGATTGTGAAAATTGAGCAAATTTTTAAAAACGAAAAAGATCCTTTTGCTCTTTTGATTCAGACAAATACCGAAGAAATGAATCTACTAAATTCTAGAAATTCTTTATTGGATTGGATGGGACTGAATGAAGCAATACTCGACCGTCCATTAACGGCTGAGGAACTTTTGGTCTTCCCAGAATTTGAGTGGTTTGTTAATATATATAAAATGAAACCATGGATTATACCAAGCCAATCACTTATTTCCAATTTGAATCTCATATTCTCAATGATGAAATGACGAATCAAAAGATCGGTAAAATTAAGAATAAAAACAAAGATAAAAAGGATAAAAAGAAAACTGAGGGTGAAACCAAAGGTAAAACTGAGAGTAAAAAAAAAAGATAAAGTCGAGGGTCAAACCAAAGGGGAAACTGAAGGTCAAACTAAAGGTGAAACCAAAGGTGAAACTAAAGGTGAAACCAAATGGGAAACTGAAGGTGAAACCAAGGGGGAAACTAAAGGGGAAACTGAAGGTGAAAAGAAAAGTCAAACTGAGATAGAACTAGAGTTATTCTTGAAAAATTATTTATTTTTTCAATTTAGAGAGGATGAGGATGTTACTTTTAATCAAGGTCTTTTCCAAGATCTCCAGATCTGTTTTCTCCTGCTTAGAATGCTTAATCGAAAAAAATGATGCTATCATGGATTCAAAGGGAAAAGTTAAATTTGGGTCTAATGCCACAGATGAATCAGGAAAAGAGTATTCAAGATTCAAAAAATTCAAAAAGAAATGATCCAGATTCAAAAGAGAGTGTTCCAGATTCAAAACAGAGTGTTCAAGATTCAAAAAATTCAAAAAGAAATGTTCGAGATTCAAAAGAGAGTGTTCCGGATTCAAAAGATTCAAAAGAGAGTGTTCCATAATTTTTAAAAACGACAGGATTTTTGGTCGACCCCCTTCCGCTATCTATCAAACCAAATGGAGAATTTCTTATGTATCAAACCATAGTTCTTTCATTGGTTCATAAGAGTAAAGAAATTCTTAATCAAAAATACGTAAAACAACCAATAATTCGCGTTGAAGAGAACAATAATTGTGATCCTCTTCTTATTGAGAATATTTTATCATCTAGGCGTCGTAGAGAATTAAGAACTCTAATTTGTTTCAATTCAAACAAATGGAATGGCGTGGATGCAAATTCTCTAGTTTCCAACAAAAATCAAGTTTGGGAGGAAAGTAACCCTGGGCTTAAGGATCCAAATAAATTGATTGAATTTTTTCTTTGGCCTAATTATCGATTGGAAGATTTAGCTTGTATGAATCGTTATTGGTTTAATACTAATAATGGGAGTCGTTTCAGTATGTTAAGGATCCATATGTATTTACCATTGAAATTTAATTGGTGGAAATTTAATTGATAGTAGTACTATCTACCCTGTAGCAGGGTAGATGGTACCAGGTTAGATGAAAAGTAATGAATGGAAATATACCTTATTTTAATTTGGATGTAACTGAATCGAGGATACCATATATCTATCTATATCTATATAGATACATTCTCCCTCATCCAAAGAATATTAAGTTGAAATAATTCACTTTGATTTTATTAACGAACCCGAAAACAGAGGGTTTTAGCAATAAATGTCTTTCACATCCAGTGATAACCTGTAAATCATTTTAAATGGCAGTTCCAAAAAAACGTATTTCGAAAGCCAAAAAGCGTATTCGTAAGAACATTTGGAAAAGAAAGACTATTGAGGTATGTTAGGTCCCTGTTTTCTAGTCTAGAATGTGTATGTGTGGAAGATAGATCTGAGAATGAAGCTTTCCATTGATGGTGAAGGTTTTACAGAATGATATGAAGTTTAGCGTAAAAACCTTACACGCAAATAGGCATTGCGGCACAGAGAATGTATCGAAAAGCTTAACCTAGCCTTTCCCTTAAGGCATATATATAGCCTGACGGGAAAGGTAGGTTTACAATCATTGGGCTCCTTTTTCTAGGAGGCCCATACCTAAAAAGGCATGAAAGCCTTTATTACAATTTAACTATAAAAAGGCCTATTTGTTATTAAAGCTAACTACAAAATAGCAAGGTAAACATTGATCACAATTACAATGATAAATATCTCTAACAATCTCCCCCTTTGTGATCAGATGTTCTTGCTTCTTTTATTCTTCACTTCCGAGCTTTATAATAGTGCTTTCTAAGATTGAGTGCATGCTCGTAGTTTCTGAGTGACCTTCTATCGTTGATATGCTTTTTGATGGCTTTCAGAATTTTATCAACTCTTTCCAGCTTTATAATAGTGCTTCCTTTGAGGCTTCAGTCTGTCTTTTATCAAGCTCTTCTTTTCTTGGTTGCAACTGTTCCCGGATGATCTTTAAAGTCCCGTCACAGTATTTGCGAATGTCTTCAACAACCATCAGGCGCTTCTCCTCTTTGTGATTCAGATAGATAACTGAGACCGGATCGTCAAAAGTGTGGTATGCTGAGTAGGGTTCAAGTTCCGGTCTGTTCCATTCTGGTTGCGTGAGGTTTGCCTTTGAGTAGTTGTTTTCTAGGGCCATTTGGAGATCATGGGAAGCATAATATCGAACTTGTCTGGTCATAAATCTCTTGATAGCCTCGAAGCCTTCTTTAGCAATTCTGTCTTTGTGGACTGGGAGTTATCTACATGCCATGAACATCTGATAGATGTCATCCATGTGTAGTAAGAAGAAGTCATTCTCTTGGCATGTGAACTCGGTCCCGTCAGTGCGTTGTACCTGGAAAGTATAGAACCTGATAGTCTCAAGATAATCTTTTGTTACCTTTAGAATCTTTGACACAGGAGCTATGCTTGTTTCCAGATTATGATTCAGAATTCTGCGTTGTTCGCCTGTTGATCTTTGGTAAAGCATAAAGATGTGTCCTCCTCTATACTTTCCTTTGAAGTGGTTGAGTCCACGAATTTTCAGTTCACTGAATCTGATGAGTTTCTCTAGTTGACGCCATATTCGCTCTCGAATTTCTTCTTGAAAGGGGGCTTTGACTCTAAGAATTTCCAAGGACTTTTTGATTTCCTTTTGCTTGGTGACTGGTTCCGGGTCCTTGGAATTTTCCTGATAGTTCTCCCCTTCCTTGATTTCATCTTCATCGAGCCCAATAAGCTCAGCAGCACACTTGTCAATTAGTTCTTTGAGACGTGCGCTTCGTTGCATTTCATCTTGCTCTACTTCCGCTCTCAGTTCGTCCCACTCTGTCCATTGGCGGGGCCATTTGTCATAAACAAGAATTTCTTCAAGTTCATCGAGCGTTTGATCATCAGAGGGACTGGAGGGAGTTTGGTGCTGCTGTGGCGTTCTGTCAAAAGTAACACCGGGATCACTAGGATTGCCCGTTATCATCAGATTAGAACTAGGTTCTTTCTGATGGCCTGAATAAAATGGTGTACTTGTCGTAGCAACCTCAGGACTTCCACTCCATCCTTGGACAGCACCTGTAAAGGATGCGCCTAGGAGTGTTGTTTCTAGCTCGACCGGGCTAGATGTGGGTGGATTGGCTGTTTGGCTTTTGTGTTGAGTGGATGGTGGGGGCTGATTGTTCGAGGATTCAGGTGGGTTGGATTGCATAGAGGGTTGGCTAGTTGACGCATCACGCTCAAGTGTCCGTTACCTCTTGTTCTCCCCCTCATGAGGATCCGAATCATCGGGGTCCTCATGCGAACGTTTGTGACCACGGAGACCATCACGGCATGAGCTGTCAGGCTTAAGGATCCGAAGAAGGGCTTGTTGTTTCTGGGTTAGGTTGCCTTCTTCGGTAGCTAGTAGCTGTTCTAGCATAAGGGTTTCGAGTACCTCGAACGATAGAGTTTTAGGGTCGGGAAAAGGTGTGGTCGAACCGCTAGGATTCCCATTCTTCATTCAACCCACGCTCGTGATCTTACTAGTCTTCTGCTCTGACAGAAGACGTTCGCCATTCAACGAGTAAGGGGAAGAACTGGTTTACCCCGCTAGGGTTCCCTTTCTTCGTTCAACCCATGATCGTGATCTTACTAGTCTTCTGCTCTGGCAGAACACGTTCGCCATTCAACGAGTAAGGGGAAGAATTGGTTTACCCTGCTAGGGTTCCCTTTCTTCGTTCAACCCATGCTCATGATCTTACTAGCTTTCTGCTCGGGCAGAAGACGTTCGCTATCCAACGAGTTAAGAGAAAAACTGGTTTATCCCGCTAGGATTCCCATTCTTCGTTCAACTCATGCTCGTGATCTTACTAGTCTTCTGCCCTGGCAGAAGACGTTCGCCATTTAACGAGTAAGGGGAAGAACCGGTTTACCCCGCCAGGTTTCCCATTCATCCAGGAGTTATGTCTCCCCTCCTCCCCCCCCCCCCCCCCCCCCCTTTTGGGAGGGAATTTTTTTCCATCAAAGGCCTATTGGTAGAACTTTTTTAGGTGCTCTACGTTCCACGTTCCAGCAGAGTTCCCCTCCAATGTTTGGAGGACGAACGTCACCTGGTTAAGTCTCCGTAAAACCCTGTACGGTCCTTCCCAATTTTTGGCCATTTTGCCTCCTTCGAGCGGTTTGCTTTTTTCTCTTTTGCGCAGGACTAGGTCCCCAACGTCAATCTCGCGGATCCTCACCGCCTTGTTAAAGTATCTCTGGGTGGCTCGGTGGTATTCCTCCATGCGACGAGCCGCCAAGTCCCTGCGTTCTTCAATGAAATGGAGCTCCGCTCGTAAGGTGGCTTCATTATCCTCCAGCTGGTAATGCTTGGTGCGATGTGAGGGCACTAGCACTTCGGTGGGCACCTTGGCTTTGAATCCATAGGTCAAGGCGAAGGGCGTCTCCCCAGTTGCAGTCCTTGGGGTTGTTCTGTACGTCCAAAGGACGTAATTGAGTTGTTCAGGCCAAGTAGATGTATAATCCTCTAATTTCTTTTTTATTCCATCCATGATGGTTCGGTTCATGTTTTCCACTTGGCCGTTAGCCTGCGGGTAGGCCACCGAGGCCTTGGAATGCCTGATGCCCCATTTCGCCAAGTATGCCTCGAACCCACGTCCGACGAACTGCCGGCCATTGTCAGTGATGATCTGCTCTGGGATCCCAAATCGGCATATGATATTCTGCCAGACGAACCGTTGGCATTGATATTCTGTGATGGTGGCCAGAGGTTGGGCCTCCACCCATTTGGTGAAGTAATCAATTGCTACTATGATAAACTTCCTTCCGCCGGTCGTGTTTGGTAAGGGTCCCAGCAAGTCGATCCCCCATCTTGCAAAAGGCAGGGAGACGGTCGTCGGGGTATAAAAACTCGTCGGCCGCCCTGGAATAGGGGCGTACTGCTGGCACACTGCGCACTTCTGCGTGTGGTTGTAACAATCTTGTTGGATCGTGGGCTAGTAGTAGCCTTGCAAGATGATTTTCTGCGCCAGAGTTCTAGGCTCTTGGTGGCTCGAACATATGCCTTCATGGATCTCCTCTAGAACTGCTGCGGCAAGGTTCAGCAGGAGGCATCTCAGGTATGGCCCCCCGAACGTCTTCTTGTAGAGCTGCCCATCAATGATTTCAAAATTTGGGGCTTGCCTCTTAATCCATGCTGCCTTCCCTATGCTTCCGTCAGCTGGGGGTTCTGGGAGGGTTCCATCTTTGATGTAGTCCATTATCTCCTTCAGCCAACTGGGTTCGGCTAAGGAGATGGCCTCTATCTGAATTGCCTCCGTTGACGGCGTTAGGAGCGTCTCATGTCTTACGAATCCCCTAATGTGTCGGGGGATGTTCGTCGTGGGATCGTCTGATGGGGGATTGCCTAATTTTGACAATATGTCGGCCTCAACATTTTCCACCCGGGGTACCTGTTCAATTACCACATGTTCGAACTGCGCGGTTTACTCCTCCGCCAGCTCCTTGTAGACCTTCATCCTCTCCTCCCTGGCTTCGGTCGTCCCGTTCATCTGGGTAACCACCAGCTGGCTATCCATTCTCACCTTCAGACAGGCTGCTCCGAGTGCCCTTGCGCATTTTAAGTCCGCAATGAGTGCCTCATACTCAGCCTCGTTGTTGGTGACCTTGAACTCGAATTTCATGGAGTAATAGGCCTTGAAACCTTCAGGAGAGGTTATCACCGCACCTCCGCCGCAGGCCCGCACACTCGAGGCCCCATCGGTGTACATCTCCCATCAGTTGTCGAAGTCGTCAGGTTTAAGGAGCTGTCCTCGGTGCGCGTAGTGCATTCGGCGATGAAGTCTGCAAGTGCCTGTCCCTTGATCGTCGGCCTTGGTTTGAAATCCACGTTGTACTGGCCGATCGTCAGGAACCACTTTGCGATCCTTCCGCTAGCCATAGGGCTTCTGAGGACCGTCGCGAGAGGCTGCGTTGTGTAGACGGTGACTGGGTGAGCTTGGAAGTACGGTGCTAAACGTTTGATGGAAGCTATCAGGGCGAGGACCTTCTTCTCCATCAGTGTGTACCTTGTTTCTGGACCATTCAGCGTTTTGCTCACAAAATATATTGGGCGTTGAATGCCCCTATCTTCCTTGAGGAGTACGGAGCTTACTGCCAAATCCGCCACTGCCAAGTACATGTATAAGCTCTCCCCCGGGTCCGCCTTTGTGAGGACGAGCGGAGAGGAGAGGTATGTTTTGAAATCTTTGAAGGCCGCCTGGCACTCCGGGGTCCATTCGAAAGGATTCGCCTTCTTCATGATCCGAAAGAAAGGGATCGCCTTATCAGCCAATTTGGACATAAAACGGCTCAGGGCTGCCAGGCGTCCTCTCAGTCTCT